GCCCAGAATTCTCCTTTTTCCACAGACACAATCATATGCACTCTAAAAAGGGAGAGGAGAAGGGATTGTGGCAGAGCCATCTCCCCCAGGGGCAGTGATTTTCCATTTTCCCTCTCTCCCTGTTTCTCTCCAGCAAGCGCATATACCCTATAGCAAAAATCTAAATTTAATTAATTAATTAATTAAATTAAAAGGGGACTGGTGACTCACGATAGAGCCAAAGAGTCACAGAATTTTTGAAACCGGTCTTTATATATAGACATAGATATATAAAGTACAGCCTACACTCAGTAAAAATAAGCTAGCCCACTCAGCTATAAGTAGGCTTCCCAAAAGATTTAGCCAAGAGTCATTTTCTATATGCCTTTTAAGTTCTCATTTCTAGTAATTTAGCCCATCAGAGACTGGACTGAAGTGGGAGAATCCTAGCAGGTTTTGAAGCAGGTATTATCCCTTCCTAGTTTTCACAGATACTGAGAATTCCACTGTATGGCATTCACATATTTTATTCCCAGGGAACTCCTACACAGTATTGATAACCTTTTCTTGATTCAGATGGCTGGATTATACGTATTTCTACATGTTCATCGAAGTGCTATCAAAATACACCCAAAATGCCCCATTTAAGAGCTAGCTATATATCTGAGTGGAAAGTTGAATGAATGACAAGTTCTCCTACTTCCTTTCCCCCTAACATCCTTGAGAGCTATGGTTGGGTCTAGCTTATCAAGCTCCCCTTACCTACAGCATGCTGCACAGTGCCTGGACCCAAGCAGGTGCTCAGTAAATCAAGGAACCAAGACTGACTTAAATACCTTGGCAGATGGTGGTAGTATATTTAGGGAAGACTGGAGAAGGAATTCATTTCCTATAGAAAGATCACAGATCGGCATAACTCTTTCAACCAACAGACATCTGTTCAGTGCTTACAACGTGCGAGTAACCATAGTGAGTACTGTGGTTCTACTACCAAAACAAGAGCAGTAGTGACCACCTCAAACTTTATTGAAACAAATATGAGATGGACAGATGAATAGCAGCAGATGCAGACTGGTAAATAAATAGGATGATATAAATAGCAAAGTCTTCTTTTGCCACCATTCTCCTAAATTCTGCCCTCAATCTTCAAAATGTGGGAAAGAGCTTTTGTAGGAGAGGTATTATCACCACTTTAGAACAAGGTAATTAAGATCCCGAAAGAAAAGTGATTTGGGGGACCCACAGATGGCATAATGGTTACATCACTGGAGTCCCACATGGTCGACTTCAATTCAAGTCCCAGACCTGGCGGCTTAAAATTCATGCCAGGCACATGTGCATGCATGCCCAACATCACCGAAGGGTGATTTCTTGCTTTCTGTTTCTCTGTCTCTCTCTGTCTCTCTGGCAAGCACATGTGCCCTGTAACAAAAATCTCTCTTAAGAAAGAGAAAGAAAGAAAGGAAGAAGAAAAAAAGGAAAGAAAGAAAGAAAGAAAGAAAGAAAGAAAGAAAGAAAGAAAGAAAGAAAGAAAGAAAGAAAGAAAGAAAGAAAGAAAGATAGATTGATTTGGTCAAGTTCATGTAATTAGTAAAGTCTGGATTAGACTTAGAATAGTCTAATTCTAGAATGTAAGCTCATGGCCATATAATATGGTGTCAACAAAGACCACTCAGACCACATCATTATGTCAGGGTAGGGTATCCCAGATGTCCATAGCTTCCCTTTTCTGGATTGTCTTCAACTGCTAGGCCTTTGTTTCTTCACCTGCCCCTCAGTTGTTTAAAAAAAAAAAAAATTGCTCCAAGTCTTTTGCACTGAAGAAACTCTTTCATTTATTGCTTTGTTTCTTTGTGAATTACTAACTATATATAAGCATTATATATGATTCTGAAGACACCAAGAATAAGCTGTTGTCCTAAAAGAATGCAGTCTTTAGCAGGGATACAAAAAACTAAATGTCTAACCATGGCAGAGTTGGGGCTTCCTAAAATGGGAGGAGGACCTTGGTGGCACCCATATTGACTCAGGCGGTCTAAACCCTGAGAAATTAATAACACAGAACTCTACACTGAGAAAGTTATGTCTTTTCCAATATTGTACAAGCCCCTTGATGATATCGAGGTCTTAGTTTGGTGCTAGTCTATCTTTAACACCTCTCTCATCTCTAACTCTCACTAATTGCCCTGTGTTAGAAAGTCAGAGCAAGGCAAACTCTTGCTGGTCTCTGGATTGAATAATATGGCATGTTTTATTGTGTTATTTGTTGGTTATCTTTCATACCTTACAAGTGATACCAGTTTTATATTCACAGAAGTATACTAAAACATTTAACTACTTTGTCTAAATGTTAAAGACTTTTTCTTAAAGAACAGTAAGTTAATAAAGGTACAGTGCATATGAAGATGAGATGCAATGCAGTTTAGAAAACACTGATCCCGGAACCAGCAGTTAGCATAATGGCTATGTCGCTGGACTCCCACGTAGTCGACTGTGGTTTGAGTCCCACACCTGGAGGCTTGAGTGTGTCCGTGTCCAAGATCCCGAGAGGAGAATGGAGGAGAAGGGATTGCAGCGTGGCCATCCACCCTGGGGGATGACTTCTTGCTTTCTGTCTCTCTGTCTCTTTCTTTCTGGGGAGCGCACGTGCCCTATAGCAAACCTCCCCCCACAAAAAAAAAGAAAAGAAAACACAGATCCCAAGTAAAAGCACTTAAAACTAGAGCATGCATACAGTGCTACAGAAGCAGAGAGGAGAGCCATTTGTCAAGTTCAGTCTTGTGTTCACTAGGAGAGGGGTATTTGAATATCAGTCCATTCTGACAATGGAGTAAAAAGCCCAGAAAAAAATATTTAGGAAAGATGTAAAGAATATTCCAGATTCTACCAACTCGATGGACGAAAGCTGGAGAGTAGGAAGTAAGTTTTCTGAAATCAGCTCTGAAATCACCTCCATTAAATAGTATGGTTCCCCTCCGATGACAGAGACAAGTCTTGGGTTGTTCCTCAGGTCTTAAACACCAAAAGGTAGTAAGTGCCACCTTCTCATAAACAAAAACCAGAGCAAAGAATTTTGTTTTCCTGTTATCATTGAGTCTTTGTGGGAAACCACTTGAGGCTTCTGGGAAATAACCTCAAAGGTGAATTGCAATTGCAGAATAAAAACACTGCACTTGAAAACAGTTCAGATTAGAACCTGCAGATGCTGTGGAAAATTACCATGGAGCAGGTTCGGTGAGTGGATGGAAACCAATGTAGTTGATCATTGGAAGAGTCCTGGGGGTTATCTCTCAGTCCACACTGAGAAGGTATGCCATAGAAGGAGAAAGTCAATTACATAGGACATGAGTTAG